TGTAATATATATAGAATTTTAATTTTAAATAATACTTTTAACATCGCTGTTTTTCCCAACATCTAGTATTCTAAGTGGCTCCATACCACTCTGACCTCTTAACACCTCAAAGCAAGAGAAAGAAAATGGATTTGTCCACTGTATGACATCATCACCAAAAGCACATATAACAAGACATCCAGCAAAGGGAAAAATAAAAGAGATGATACTTTAAGCCATGAACATTAAACTTTGGGAAAGTTAACAGTAAAAACCATTAGCGACCACATCAATTTTATACCTGGGTAATATGACAGCCAGGAAAACTTAAATTAGTTAGAAGGCAGCTTAGCATAGCGGGTTCCTTAACTTTGTCTGTTTGACACAGGGTTTTGCTATGTAGTTCAGGCGGGCCTTGAACTCACTATGTAGCCCAGGCTGGCCTCAAACTCATGGCAATTCTCCTGCCTCAGCCTCCCAAGTGCTGGGATTACAGGCATGTACCGCCATGCCTGGCTTCCTTAACTTTTCTGAGTGCACTTTCTCCTCTGTAAAATGTGAGCTTTTATGGCCCCTGCAAAAAATCAAGTGAGATCATGCATGCAAAACTCCCTGCACGGTGTCTGGCACAAAATTAGGCATCCAGTAAATGGTTGCTACCAGCTGAGTCATCTTTGTCATTAATGATTTACCTGAGCAGCCTTGGCAAATGTTGGCCCATGGTAGCGGCCGCCTATGCGCAACACATCCTCCGTGCAGTAAAAAAATTCTGAGAAGCCATAGAACTCGCTGTTGTTAAAGTCAATTGGCGATTGGTAAATGCCATTCAGTGAGGCCTGGCTGGTGTTGGAGCGAGCCAGCAGCGGGCTCAGCATCATCCCACACGTTGCCCAGTCTCCCTTTCCTCGGATATGCAGGACTTGGCTGTTTCTCTCCACCACATCTGTCAGTCCCACAGGCAGGCAGGGATCCAGAAATGGATTGTCAGGACTCAAGCCTGTCTTCTCTCCCAGCAATCTGTCGCAATGACAAAAACAAAACAGAAGTCCAATGAACTCACTCTCACTGAAAAAACACAATGTGCTTCCTAGATACCTTGTCATTTTCATGATATCCCTAGAAACAAGGGTGGAATGGAGTATTAATATGCAGTAGTATCATATGTACATATACTTAAGTTAATTAAACTTAGAAAAAGGGGGGAGTGGAAAAAAGGAGGATGGGAGGGAGAGAGGAAGAGAGAGGACGGTGATCAATTTTATTCAACACTGCTGTCAGCACGTCCGTTTTCCAGGGTACAGTGAAACTGGAGATGTGAATCAGCTGTTCTTCACCTGAACTGCATTCCTGCATGTCTCTCAGAAGTACAAGGTTCTCACTACGCTGACTGTCATTCTTGCGTTTTAAGTCACAACTGCAAAGAGGCAAAGCGGGAAGGGCTGAGGAGGATGTCCTGAGGAGGGCACCATGGCACTGGCACAGTGGTGATGCCTGGCCCTGAATGAGCAGCACTGAGACAGAACAGGTGGAGCACCAGCTCCAGGGAGCCACCTGCAGGGGCAGGAGCCTCTGAGTAGACAGAGGGATGGCATCTGACTCCTGCCGTGGTGGCACACAATTCCAGTTATTTAGTCTGCTTGTCTAGACACTGTGCTCTCCTTCCTAGAGATTAATGTGCAGGATGGAAATTATGTGGCGATTAATAAATGTGCCAGCTGAAGTTAACTGTTCATCAGTTCCTAAACAGATGTGAGCGGCACATCTAGGATGGAAATGCAACAAACATGTTTGGAGCACTAGGATGGAAATTAGGAGGAGCTACCTTATACCACATATTTTAAACATTTAATTAGCCTCACTTATCACTGAGATGCCATGCCTGCCTGGGACACAGGGACAGATCACAATAAACTACTGAACTTTTCATGAGTCCTAATAACGAACAGACTTCATCCAAGTCATCTCTCCCTAGGAGAGAAATGCTGTCCCATTGGCAAGGGTGATCGGAAAGGAGGCAGCAAGCACTTATCCACCTTAGTGGAATACGAATATGTCTTCCTAATATCTGAAGCCTAATCATATTCTATTTTATAAACCTGGTCTTATATCAAATGTACCTGTTTTTGTTAAGAGTTTCATTCAGCACAAGATCTTCATAGCGCTGCCGGGCAAAGTTACCTCCAAAACCCAGAAAGGTTGTGACGTAAACCCTGTACACATGTTCAGTGTGTTGTACGTCACAGCCCAGATTGAACTCTGCCAATAGGATCTTGGCAGCTTCTTCCTGATGTTAAAAAACAAAAGAGAATTTTAGTTCAAGTTAATTTCTAGAAAGCTAGAACACTGCTCATACACCAAGCCTCATTTTCCAGAACTATTCTTTCAAACATTTTACTGCATCCTTTCGTCCTCATACCATTACTTTAGCTAATAAGAGATGAAATGATGAGACTGCACCAAAGTGTACAAATTAAAGGCCAGGTTGGAAGATTAAATACCAAATTATAGACTCAAACACTATCTTTGGTTATAAGAGGTAGAATCATTATAGTTGATGTCATTTTCTCTGTGCTTTCCAACTCTCCACAATAGGAATGTGCTATTTTCATAATTAGAGAAAACAATCTTTTAATAAGAAAGGAATTTGGGGGACTGTCATGAGATCTATGCTCTGACTTTTTCTAAAGTTTATTTAATAATTCCTAATATTGGGGCTGGGGATTTAGCTCAGCGGCACAGCGCCTGCCTGGCAAGCGCAAGGTCGTGAGTTCGATCCCCGGTACCAGAAAAAAACAAAAAAACAAAAAAGAATTCCTAATATTTCCTGCGACAGATTTGGGCATTGGGAAAGTTCAATTTCATTTTACTTCCAATGAAAAGGTGGTTTTTAAATTTTTCTTTTAGTGCAGAAGGCAAATAATCACATTCCTCAGCTCAAGGCACACTGTCACTGCAAAGTCCTTGTTTTATTTATTGATTCCTATTTATCCTCATAGCCATACCTATACCTAGTCCCTGCCATAGGCAACCATTCTAATGTGCTTAATGAGCAATTTTCATGTGTATTATTGTAAAATGGAAATTATTATTTTTTATTTATTTTTAAGTTATGAAAATTCTATGACAGCCAGCAACTCTACTTCTAGGTACACACCCAAGAGATGTGAAAACTTACATCTACACAAAAATGTGTACGTCAAAGTTCACAGCTGTATTATTCCTAACAACCAAAATGGGCAAAAGGTTGAGATGGCCATCAAATGATGAATGGAAAAACAAAACATGACACGTTCGTACAGTGGAATGTTATTCAGACATAAAAAGTGATCAAGTACTGCTGCACGCTGCAACACAGACGAACCTTGGAAACACCTTGCTAAGCAACAGGTAGATATAAATGGACACTGTATGATTTAATTTATATGAAAAACTCAGAACAGATAGATCCCTAGAAGACAGAAAATAGACTTGTGGTTGTCAGGGGTAGGGAGAGAATAGGAAATAACTGCTAAGGAATATAGAGCTTCTTTTTGAGGTGATGAACATGTTCTGAAATTCTAAAGTGAGGGTGGTACAACTTTTGCATATGCACAACTTTCTGAATGTACAAAAAATATGTTAAGCATTTAGGGATTTAAAATTTTTTTTTAAATGCTTTATATGTTTCACTGTTTCTTTCCTTTTTCATTAAGTACTAAGATCCATGTATAAAAGTCATTATATTGCTATGTGTATATCTAATTTCTTTTTTTTTTTCTAATTTCTTGCTTACAAGCTACTTTCTATAACAGTATCGCTTTCTAAATATGCACACGCTAAAGTCATTTAAAAATGTATACCCCAGTGCTACTTGTCACATACTCCTTAGAACCAGAACTGTACCTTTATTTATCTATTGAATATGTACCAACAAGTAGACTAAAAACTTCTCAGTCATCAACCCTGCCACGGAGATCTATGTTGATTGCCAAAATCATATTTTCCACAGTTCTGTGGAAATTCTTACATATACATTCTTCTTTCAACACATCCAACATTGAACTCATTCGTTTTAAAACTTTTTTTTTTTTTAAACTCATCCAGCATTTATTATGTGAACCATTTCTTCACCGTGAGCCTCTGCCTGTTGCTGGAAGCATTGTCCCCACCCTGACCCTCAGCTCCCTGGAGGGGAGCACGGGGCCAATTCGGAGGGGGCCCAAGGCATGGGGGGCAGGGCAGGGGATGGGGATGGGGATGGGCAGTGTGCCAGAGCGGATCCCAGAAGACACACATCCCACAGAGGCAGAGACGGGCGTCGACCCCCACCCCACCCAGCGGCCGCAAGGGCGTCGGGGAAAGACCAGGCATCCAGAGACATTTCGGTCCTTCCCATCCAGGTGCGGGGGGGGCGGTGTCACGGTCCTGAGCTCTGCCTTCAGGGCACACTAGCCCCGAGCCAAGGTGGTTTTGATGGCAGCCACCAGCTTCCGAAACTTGCTGTCCGTGTCCAGGAAGCCATCGCCTCCCTTCTTGGAGTGAATCAGCTTCCCAGCTACGGTCACTTCAAAGAAGCCGGGGAACTGGGGTGTCCCCTCACCACAGATGTCCAGGCATCCGGGGAACTCATCTTCCAGCTTCTCCTTGAGATGGAGATACTTGGGCTTGTAGCCTCAAGAGCCACAATAAACGACTCGCACCATGAGAGCCATGATGGCGAGCCTCATTTTAAAACTTAAGAGCTAGGAGACCAATGGATGCTGTCACCCAAACCTCTAAGAACCTTATTGTTTACTTAGCATCAACTCTGCCCTTGCCCCTGTGCCTTCTCTCAGTGAATGAGATCTTTACCCTCCTGGTTACCCTTCCTGGACCGTCAGCATCCCTGGCCATCGTACTACCACAACCAGTTACCCAATTACAATTACATTGGTTTTTTCACTCCAAAACATTCCTCAAAATCTGTTTCCTCTTTTCCATTTCCACTTACACTGTCTCATTCAACTTCTTACCACTTCTCACTCAAGACTCCCTGACCTACATTTCTTTGTCCTACTTATACCAAAAATTTTCTCCTAAAACACATCAGATCATAGCCAACATGGTCACAAAACTCAGCAATGGAAAGGACCTTCAGAGTTTGTTTTATGATGGAACTGAAGCACCTGACTGCCCTACTCAAAACTTTTGCTGGCTCCCCACTATCTACAGAACTAATAAACATTTCACATTTCTTGCACATAGTAGATGCTCAATAATAAAAACTGCATTTCCCTCCTATGATCAAACTTCTCCCTCAAAATACATCCTCACATTCTGGTAGGATAAAGAACATTAGAGACACAGGAATTGAATTATTAGTAATGGGAAGGGATATATGGGACAAAAGGTATGTTTCAAATAACTGTGCTCCAGGACTTAGTGTTGTGGTTACTCCTCAGGCAACCACAGAAGATAAGGAGTATTAGCTGTAACTGGTAGAATGTACCAAATACTTATAAACTAGCCAATCTGCCAAGTGCATCACACACATAGTATTACTTCCTCTCACAACTAAGGTAGAACTATCATTATGCCTTTTTACACATGAGGACACTGAGGCTCAGAGAAGGAACTCAAAATAACACAAGCATCTGAACAAGTATTTGGACCCACACAGGTTGGTCTAAGGCCAAAGACAATGTTCTTCTTTCTCACAATACTGTCATTTCTGACTAAATTTCCATGAATAGCCAAACACCTGTTTTGGGGGGAGGGCAGAGGTTGAGGTAGGAACTTCATAAGCAATTTGGAGAGAGGCTCCTCCCATATCCAGGATCCCTACTGTCCTTCGGCGTCCTGTTGTTGATTCCTGGGAACTGTCAGCATCTGATTCTGAAATGATAAAGCAGCAAAAGGGCCCCAGTAAGTAAAAACCAAAGTCAAAAAGAAAGGACCCTCCCCTTCAAAAAACAGCCATCCTTTACAAATGTGGAAGCAAACGAAAACAAGTTCATCTAAAGCTACTGGCTATATATTACATAAAGAGTTATTTCAAGTGACTTAAACATGATACTTCGGCTATGTATTCACAGGAAATTATATCCTGAAGATAAAAGAAACAAATATCTTAAATTGCATTCTAGTAGTGTAATATTATTCATATTGTTATTTTAGAATAATTAAACGTATATGTTAATTTTTTGGTTGGTGCTAGGATTAAATCCAGGGCCTTGAGCAAGCTTAGCAAGCACTTTGCCACTAAGCTATATCCCCAGCCTATATTACTAACTTTAGGAACAAAGATAAGCATGAAAGAAAAGGATACTGGTTAAAATCAAAGCCAAAACTTATAATCTTTTATTTTAAAGAAAAAAAAAAATTTGAAAACAAGATAATGGAAGGGTAACAATGGTTAATACATTGTATACTGTTATCCTTAAATTAGTTACTCAGAGTACAAGAGATGGGCATTTAACTGTCCAAACAATATTACCACAAACTTTTCTTTTCAATGAACTAAGAGAAATTAGTAGTATAACTTAACTATCTCATATATTTTTTTCCTCTTGCTTTTCTCTTCCTTCTTTTCTCCATCCCCTATCCCAGTTCCTCTTCCTTTTGAAGTTTCTTCCATTTTACAGTATCAACTGTACATTTTGGATCTTATTTACTCTTTCAGCTTCTTACCCTAGGGAGACAATATGATGTTTACACATGTGCATCTGGTTTATTGCACTTGTGAGTATGGTCTCAAGTTGCACCTATTTACTTATAAAAGACTCAAGTTTATCTTTCTTTATGGCCTAGTACTATTCCATTGTATACAAAGACCACATCTTTTTTATCCATTCCTTGGTTGATGGGCATTTGGGTTGTTTTTAAGACCTAGCTATTACAAATTATGCTGCTGTAAACATGGGTGCATATATATTGCCGTGGCATGATGTTTTTAAGATACCCAGAAGGGGAATAGCTGGGTGGAATGGGACTTCTAATTCTAGTTTTTTTGAGGAATGTCCACCTGATTTCCACAGTGGTTTCACCAGTCTACACTCCCACCAGCAGTGCAGAAGGGTTCCTTCTTCCCCAGAGCCCCTCCAGCATTTGTTACTGGTTCATTTCCTGATGACAGCCTTTCTTTCTGGGGTGAGATGGAATCTCAGTGTTGTTTCAACCTGCATTTCTCGAATGACCAGTGATGCTGAACAGTTTTTCATGCATTTATTTGCCATTTGTATTTCTTCATCTGAAAAGTATGTATTCATCTCCAATGCCCATTTTTGGACTGGGTCTTTAAATCTGGAAGGTCTGATATTTTTGAGGTCTTTATACATTCTTGATAGCAATACATAATCTTAAATATGAGTTGGAAGCATCAGTACAAACTCATAATTCACTTTTCTCCTTCCTAAAACAATCATATTACCTTGCTCTGATCACTGAAAAGCTTAGAAACTGATAACACAGGAGGAATGAGCACCCCTGGAATCTAAACCACAGTCTTTACATATTATTTTCCATCAAAATAAAGCAGGCTTTCATTTTAAAAAATGGTCAATGCCAGGTCTAAGGTAGAAGGTATCTGAAATGAGGATGGAATACCTCTGTAAGTCAGAGAGCAGAAGAAATAACAAAAGTATTGGGATCATGTTAAAAAGGATACAAGGGCCAACCTAAAGGTGCTCCTGCAGACGCGATGGCCTCTCCCACTCCTTCCCCATCCTGGGGATTTAACGAACCCAGGGCCTCCTACACATTAGTTCATGAAAGTTTAAAAAAAAAGTTCACTGTTTACCTTTGAAAAGTGCTAGGATACCAAGAAATTATTCAAAAGCTTAATAAGGAAAATAATCAAGGATTTAGCCTGTTTTTCCCATAAGAACTATATTTCAAGATAACCAAAAGAGCTGATGATAAAAAGTTCATTATATAAAACCCCGGGGGGGGGGGGGGAATCACTATTTTACAAGCTCTAATGCAAACACATATCTGAGTAATGACCACAATTGGCTCTGACAACCATTAGGCGAATGGTGGATGAGGAATTTTTATAACAGATTAGGTCAGGCTTGGCAATGCCTGAACCCTTACTTCATCAGTCTGAACATGACTAAAAGTAAAAGAACCAGACTAATGAAACCCCTGACGTGATGCAGTAGGAAACACACGGCATCACCTTACAGATGAACCTGAGCCTGATCGATCTGTACGTGACCTCTAGTACCAGGACACAGAGCAAAGGGTACCGTCACAGATCCCACAAGGATGAGGGAGGTGACCTTTTAGAGTGAGTGCACACATTGCAACCCAAAACCCACTTACTTATCGCAAAGTGCCAACACTGCAACTAAAGCAGAACACTGAGGTTTTTATTTTAGAAAAAACAACTGTTATCTGACACTCGACTGCTGGTTGCTGTGCTGACAGAGGGCTCTATGTGCCCACTGTGGCACACGGGCCATCGGTTCACCATCACTTCAGAAGACCAATTCCAGAAGGTGGCAAATTCATTCTATTAAATTACTCGGTTTTGCCTCTTTTATTTTTTTATTTTATTTTATTTTTTTTGGTACCGGCAATCGAACTCACGACCTTGTGCTTGCCAGGTAAGCACTTTGCCGCTGAGCTAAATCCCCAGCCCCCAAACGAACATTCTTGAGGAAGATTAATAAAATCTCTATCTGGGTAGTAGATAGGTCCTATATGCATACAATCAGGAATTGTTAATTCTGTTAATTTTAGAATGGCATTTTGGATTTTTTTTGTCATTTGTTCTGTTTTGTAACTGTTAGAGATACACACTGGCATATATGAACATGAAATGTAACATCTGGTGTTTGCTTTAAAAAAAATTGGCCAGGCGTAGTGGCACATACCTGTAATCCCAGCACTGGGGAGGCTGAGGCAGGAGGACCATTGCAAGTTCGAGACTAGCCTAGGCTACAAAGTGAGCTCAAGGCCAGCCTGAACTGCATAGTGAGGCCCCGTCTCAAAAAGACAAAAAAAAAAAAAAAAAAAAAGAGGAAAACACGTTTTATGCGGAGGAAATATGGAAACAAAAAATTCCAAACTCTTGACTGTTGAGTCTGGGTAATAGTTCCAAGGAAGTTCATTTTATTATTTATTCTACTTTTATAAATGTTTGGAAAAAAAAAGAAAAAAATGTTTGAAACTATGCATATGAAAAAGTTAAAAAGAAATAAAGAAAGCAAATTAGGACTGGAAAATGAGACAGCTTGTGTGTGTGTGTGTGTGTGTGTGTGTGTGCATACGTGTGTGTGTTGAAGCAGCTTAAATTTCAAGAAAGAAAAACAGTTGGGCATGGTAGTACATGCCTGTAATCCCAATACTAAGGGAGGCTGAGGCAGGAGAATCACAAAATCAAGCCCAACCTGGGAAATTCAGCAAATTAATAAGACCCTGTCACAAAATTAAAAAAGAAGAAGAAGAAGAAAGGCCTGAGAGTGTGCAAAAGCCCTGGGTTCAATTCCCATTACTACATACACAGAAAAAATAAAGGAAGAAAGAAAAAGAGAGAGAGAGAGAGAAAGAAAAATAACTCCAAATTAGCACTTAGACACTACCAATAGATTATAACTTAACCCTTCAGCCCTTAAAGAATTACCGTAAGACAGTATTACTCACCATCCTCATGGTCAAATCTTCCCAAAACAAAGTTGATACCAATCCATGCATAAACCCCTAAAGAAGAAACACAAAAGGCCTCACTTAATTCTCTACTGCTAGCCCATGTGCTCACATCTTCCTAGGACTGCTCTCTTCCCCTTTTCTTGGGAGAAAAAAAAAGTCATTGTACTGTATTTTATTCTATACTCTCAGTGTATAGATTTTAAATCTTTTATTTTGTGATTCCTCCCCTCTTAGCAAATTATTTGCCTAAGAGGCTGTGGCAGAAGGACTGTGAGGATAAGGCCAGCCTGGGCTATACAGCAAGTGAAAGCCTGGCCTGGAGTGAGATCCAGCCTTTAAGCTTAAAAAAGGATTACCTGCATCTTCCAAATTTCCTGTAATGAATAACTATAGAAATAGACGTTAAAAAATGTGAATTCTTTAGTTCTACTGGGCAAGGCAGAAGAAGCACTTCTGAGTGCAAAGAGAAATTCTACTCAGAACGCATGCAGTCGCTTTGTGAAAGCTCTGGTAAGTGGAAGACACACACTGAGAAAGAGTCCAGAATTTACCCCAACCCAGCAGTGAGCCTCTCATTTTTTCCCCACAGATGTTTCTTGGCCTAGATTCAAAAGCAACTTGAAACATGAAAGTATGAATCAGGTATGGGCAGAAATAACTTCAAGACTTTCTGGTCCAAGGAGTAGAAAAAGGAGACCCCACCAGTTCAGAGAGTGTTGCTGCTTTTTTTTTTTTTTTTTCTTTTTGTGTGTCCCTTTCTGCCCCAGACAGTCCTGTAGCAACAGAGGTGCAGGGTGGGTGGATTCCTAAAACTCTAAAGAATGCGAGTTCTCCCTAGGCAGAAGAATAATAGCCTGTGTGGGGCACATTCATACTGCTTACTTTTCTCCCTGTGTCCTACCACTTGGCCCTGGATGCAGATGCAATCATGGGAAGTCCTTGGCAGAGTAGGCACATTAAAAGCCTCATTTTCTGGGTGTGGTACTGCATGCCTATAATCCCAGCACTGTGGGAGGCTGAGGCAGGAGGATCACAAGTTCAAGACCACCCGGGGCAACTTGGTGACTTAACATGGCCCTGTCTCAAAATAAAAAAGAAAAAATTTTTAAAGGGGGGTGATGGTGGGTGGGTGTGGCTCAGTGAAAAGGCCTTAAATTCAACACACACACACACACACACACATACACACACACACACACACACACCCTAATTTTCTGACCAGAGAACCTGAAAGTGAGCTCCACAGAACAAGAAAGTATTGGGATTATCATGAGAGTAGGGACTAAGCTGTGTATGAACTGGTCTTACTTCTGAGGCGCACATGTATGCCTCTGACCCTAAATTATACACCAAAGGCTTTGAGAATTGAACCACAGACAAAGCCACTGCCCAGGCTCAACTGACCACTCGTTTACAGACATGGGACAGATCCAAACACAGTAGCAGGGTCTAAGTATTGAATAAATGCATTAATAGAATTACAGCCCACACAACTTGAGTCTGAATGTGACCCCTCCACAATAGTCTTAGGATATAAACAAATTACTTGTCATACAAAGAACCAAAAGAAAACTTATAAGGGAAAAGACAGTCCAAAGATGCCAACCCCGAGATGACACATATATTAGTTATCAAAGACTTAAAGCAGCTGTGCAACCAAGAAATACAAGCTGTCTTGCAATAAATAGATTCAGCAAAGAAACAATATTAAGAAGGAAATGTGATTTTAAGACTGAAAAATACAAAATTAAAATTCAGAAAGGTAATTATTTTTCTTTCAGCAGACCAGAGCTAGAAGATATACAATATCCTCCTTTTTTAAGAAATAAGGCCAGGCACAGTGCCACACACCTGTAATCCCAGCACTGGGGAGGCTGAGGCAGGAGATTGCAGAGAATTCAAGGCCGGCCTGAACTACATAGCAAGACATTGTCTCAAAAAACCAAAACAAAACAAAACAACTACATAGTAGCTTCAGTAAAGGAAGCACCTATAACAAAAGTAATGCATCCTAATCATTCCCTGAAGTTAAAATTTCCCCTTATTTAAGCTAGTATTTGCTTTATACTTGAATTTAGCAAACTCAATACAATTCCTAGAACTATATATTTTCAAAAATACTGTTAGCTAACCAAAAATCCATTTAGAATCATCATTAAATATTAATACACTCTAAACATGGTGCTTAGTACTAAGTTAAAGCCTGATAGAAGTAGTAGTCTAAAATAGATACCAATGCAGAATACAGAAACTGTTTAGTAAAAATCAAGAAAACTGTTGGCAGAAAAATAAAAAACCAGCTATACCGAGTAATTCTAATGCAATAGCTAAGGGAAATGGTGACTGGCTGAAAAAACGACCCGGTTGCACCTTAAAAAAACAAGTCAAGGCCCACTACCTTCTTGCTTCCCGGAGATCACTTCTGCCTGAGACTGAGAAAAAAGGAAGTCAAACTCCAGTGGTAAATCCTTCACCAGGTCAGCCAAGATAGCCAACTGCTTCCTGCAAAAAAAGAAAAATCGAAAAGTTAATCATTAACTCTCTTCTTACTTGGTGTAATTCAGCAGGCCTGTGGTCCCAGCTACTTGGCCAACCTGGCAAAATAGTAAAATGCCATCTTTCAAAAAGCAAAACAAGCCAATCTCTCCTTGCAAACTGTCTTAACTAAGTGTCCTTTTACTTGGTCTTGTTGTGGTATCATCACAGTTCACCCACCCTATCAACTTGCCCAGCCTTGCTTCTTTTCGGTAATTTTTTTTTTCTGCATTGGGAATTAAACCCAAGGCCTTCACACTGAGCTATATCCTCAACCCTTTTTTAATTTTTTATTTTGAGACAGGATCTCACTAAGTCACCAAATTGACCAGGCTGTGCTCAAAATTGCAATCCTCCTGCCCCCGCCTCTCAGACTACTGAGATTACAGGCATGTGCCAAGAGGCCTAGCTACCACCTTTGACTTCAGACGCTTAAACTACTTCCCAAGTACACCTCCCAACACACAGGGCAATCTGCTAATAGTAATACTTTCCCTGTAGATAACGGTATAACTCACAGTGTTAAAAGATGCTTCTCAGAGGGTGATTATGAATAAACCACAGGAAACTGTAGCACAGTTTCACCATTATAAGCTAAATAAATTACATTACCCCTAATTAGTATTACAGAAAGATGTAAATTAGGAAACACAATCTCATCCTCAGATCTTGTATAATGCAGAAGCAACACCTCACATTACCACTTAAGAACTATAGTTAGTCCCACAAGTTTTTATATAATTCTTTGCCTCAGCATTAATTTTAAGGTACTCCTCCATAGTTCAAGGGTTTTTTGTTTGTTACAAAATCTAATCATTTGAAAAACCCAGATCAGGCTCAAAATCCAAAATTCATAATACAGTATTTCCAATTTGGGGATGACTTCTGAAACTTTGTATCCATGGGTTGTTTTTTCTTTTAAAGCCTTAAGTATGTAATCAGTATTATCAAGCAAAGAAAAGCAAAGAAACACAGCAGGAAATAATAGTATGAATCTAGGAAAAACAGTCTATTGGCTCAGATGGTTGTCAGCATGACTTGGTGAAGAACGTTGCTAGCACAAAACGTGCAGAATCACACTAGAGACTGTAATCTTCCAATACAGTGCCAAGTACAGTTTCTTTTAAAAAGTCTTTGCTATATGTATTCAATTTTTACAAGATTTTCACATGGGAAACAAGATGAGCTATTCTTCTCCCTCTACTGGATATGCTTCTAACCCACCCACGGTGGGGCTCACTGGGTTTGATGATGATATGGAAGAACTTTCAGGCACGAACCTACACTGCTGTTTGGAATACTCCCTTTCTTCAGGGTACTTGAGAACTGTTTCAAATTTGTAAAATGTACTTAAGCTCTGATCCAGATACTATACTTAAAAAAATTCATTCCAAGGAATGAAGAGAATACTGCAGCACAATTTATTTATAATAATGACAATGCCAAGCCATGGTGGTACACACCTGTGATCTCAGCACTTGGGAGGCTGAGGCAGGTAGACTGATGCAAGTTCCTGGCCAACCTGGGATGCATACTGAGTGCAAGGCCAGCCTGAGCTACATGATGAGACCTTGTCTCAAAAAAAAAGAACAATGACAAACTGAAAGTAACATAGTAACTAGGGATTGGTTAAATAATTTATGGTACAGCCACTCAATGTAATACTAATAGAAGTTTAAAAGAAATGAGGTGAATTTATATCTATAGGTACTAACATAAAAAAGTGTTTAGGGGCCAGGGATATAGCTCAGCTGCACAAGCGCCTGCCTGGCAAGCTCAAGTTCCTGAGTTTGATTCCCAGTACCAAAACAAAACAAAACAAAAAGTGTTTAATATATTTTGTTAAGTTCTACAAAGTTACAAAATAGTACATATAATGCCATCCTACTCAAAAACAAACAAAAAATTCTTCATGTACTGCAGAGGAATAGGACAGAACTTTCATTTTCTAAAATTCAGTGTTGTGGGGCTGGGGATTTAGCTCAGCCGCACAGCACCTGCCCAGCAAGTGCAACGTTGTGAGTTCGATTCCCGGTACTGGAAAAAAAAATAAAAATAAAAAATAAAAAAAATAAAATTCAGTGTTGTTTCTTTAAAAAAAAAAAACATGTAATGGCAAAAGTCCCACATGTTAGGTACTCTTACCCTAACCTATATTCCCAACCCTTTTTATTTTATTTTGAGACACAATCTCACTAAATTGCCAAGGCTAGCCTCAAAATTGAAGTTTTCTTGCCTCGGTCTCCCAAGTAACCAGGATTATAGGTGTGTGCCACCACACCCAACTAACTTTGTAATTTTTTAAAGGGAATTTCCACTACAAAATAAAAGGGAAGTAGAAAAAATAATTCTGTTAAACCACTGGCAAACAGGATAAAACCAAGCGCTAGTAAATTCAAAATACAGTCCAGGTGATTCAACCCTATACTGAATACTACTCATAAATGCTAATATAAATCAGATTCTTGCAGTTGACTATTCACAACTAGCTTGGCTTTAGAGGCAGCAGTGATTTCATGAAGCCCAGACCTGAAGTATGCGTTACTGAGAGAGGTGATCAGAAAACCAGTAAAAGGGAAGGCAAAACTCTCTTAAAATTCCTAAGATAAAATGAGTATTAATATTCAGAGCTTCTGTACTAACAGTTAACATCGTAGACAGATGAAGTAGGACTACAGAACTGATTTGGGTCAGATTTTAACAAACAGAGGCCATGCTGGGCAGTCCAAGAGATGAGGCAATCTCCTCCTTTGCTCCAGACACACATAAGATGCCCGAGCCACTGCCCAGGTTCCTCTACCTAGTCCTGCAGCCCGGAACTACCTTTTTGATCTCCAAGTTAGTTGTTCTCTGGCCTTCCCCCTGCTTCCTTGGTTGTGAGACCTAATGTAACCACTCACAGAGTTTGTGATGTGGTATCCCCTCTTGAGTCATATACTCTTCCCACAGTTTCTAAAATCTTTTAAATGATGTGAGTATTACCAATGTCAAAAGTAAAAATTCTAAATAAACTGCAAGTGCTATATGATTACAGCTTTGCAGAAATTTCATATAAATGTACATGTACAGAGAAGGTATTGGGACAAAATAGTTTTGACTGAGTAGTAAATTGTAAAGTTCATTTTGTTTGATTCATTTTTAAGATTTCCTTTAATGATACAAGGTTGCAGCTACAATATTTTAAGTTTGGTTTTAAAAATTAGTAAAAACAAAATGAAAAATTTTAAAAGACCAAGATATAGGAGGAAATTAACAGGGAACTAGATGGCCTATCATGTTGACAAATGGTTATATAAATAACGTGCTTCTTAAGAGTAAATCAGACAATAAAACGCAACCTGTGAGTCTAAACAGGAGGAAAGAATTCTACTGAAAGAAGTGTTGATACATGTTATGTTGTCTGGCATGTGTGGCAGAAAGGATGAAGCTAGATTTTTTTCTTGTTAGTTTTTTCCTTCTTCTCTCGTTATTTATTTATTTATTTAGGTAACACCGGGGATTGCGCCCTGGGCCTTTGCACTCATGGCTGAAAAGAGCAACTCTGTTTATTTTTTATTTTGAGACAGTCTTGATAAATCACTCAGTTGCTTAAACTGGGCTTGAACTTGCAATGCTTCTGCCTAAGCCCACTAGAGTGTTGAGATTCTAGGCATGAATCACCGTAGCCATCTGCTGTTGCTGTTTTAAGCAGAGAAAGGCCAGGTATAAGAATTAAAATGTGAGGAAGAGGAAGCTGCTACTTACCACTGGAAAACAGTTAAGCTAATAAGAAATGCCTATACTATGACATTATGAACATTCCTGGAGACTGACCTCTAAAGTTAAGATTGACAATGACCTCATTATTACGATACCAAATGTCAAAAAAAATAAGCATGTGGGATTCTTCTGCACAGCAAAGGAAACGATCAACAGAGTGACAAAGCACACTATAGACAGGAAGAAAATATTTGCAAACCACATCTGATTAGGAGCTACTCTTCAAAATATAAAAGAAAGTCTTACAACTCAATAGCAAAAATAACCCTAAGAACCTCATTTTAAAATGGGCTACAGACTTGACACTTGACATATCTCCAAAGACAAACAGCCAACTAGTACAGTACATGGGAAAATACTCAAGGTCATTCCTCATCAGGACATGCAAATCAACACCACAGTGAGATACTATCTCACACTTGTCAGGAAGGCCACCATTTAAAAACAAGAGACAAGGGTTGTCAAGAGTGCAGAGAAACTGGAACCTCTGCATACTGTTGGTGGGAATGTAACACAGCATGGCAGCTACGGAACACAATATAGAGGTTCCCCAAAAACTGTTTAAATCAAGGTCTGAGGGGGGCTGGGGATTTAGCTTAGCGGCAAAAACGCCTGCCTGGCAAGCGCAAGGTCGTGAGTTCCGTTCCCGGTACCGGAGAAAAACCAAAAACAAAAAAAAAAAAAAACAAAAAAAAATCAAGGTCTGAGGATGTAGCTCAATTGTAGAACATCTGCTTAGCATATGCAAGGCTCTGGAGCTAATCCCTAGCACAGGAAAAAAAGATAAAAATAGAACTACCATGATCTTCTAGGTAATTATTCCAAAGAATTAAAATTGGGATTGCAAAGAAATATTAGCACTCTCGTGTTCACTGCAGCATCGTTCACATTAGCCGAGATGTGATGACAACCTAATGTTCATGGACAGATGAACAGATACAGAAAATATGGTACCATACATACATATAATGGAATACTATTTAGTATTAAAAAGCAGGAAATTCTGCAATATGTAACAAAATGGACAGACCTTGAGGGCTTAGGCTCATTATACTAAGAGAAACAATGGGCATAAAGGTTCAGCTAAGCATTGTAAGTTAGCTCTAAGATATGCTGCACAGTACTGTACACAGAGCTAACATATACTTAAAAATGTGGTAAGAAGGTAGAACCCATGTTAAATGTTCCTACCACATTAAGAAAAAAATCATAAGAAAACAAAATTCAGGGCATTCATAATAAGTGCAGTGGGCCTTAGCGGGTATCAAAGGGGAACTTCACAAACAAGGAGTGCCCTGGCCTAAATATAACTGCCTCTTCTTCTTTCTCAGTCTCCTCTTTCTCTTTTTCTAATGCAGGAAAAGGAAGTGGGTGGCAAGACAGCAGGCTGAATTGGCACAGTCAAATGGGAAAAACTTGCCTGGGTAGGGCTGAGGAAACTCGTCTTAAGTGATGAAGGCTGAGCTTTCTGTAGCATCACAAGGAGGGACTCACGGGTTATCTCCACAACCCAGAGAGAGCTACAGAAAAAGCAGCACTGCTAACCTGGTTTGCCTGATAGCCCTAGCAGGTATCCAGATCCTCATGTGGGCTTCTCATTACCTTCTGTAATTATGTCCTCCCTCTGGGGGCTTCATAATTCAAATAAAATCACTATCACTCCCAAAACTCAATCCAAACTTACTACAACCTAAGAAGTGCAGAGATATGATCAACTGACTATGCAACAACTAGGTACAGGGGTGGCTCTTGCTTTATTTCTGAGCAAGGAGTCTTTTTGTGCTACCTGTGAGCTCCGCATGGTGTACCCACATCTACCTCAAGACTAGGGAACTAGAGGGTGATGCAGACAATCAGTCTTTCAACACTTGTGCACCCATGTTCCTGTTTCCCAGACTCTGCATGGCACCTCTCAGGAAGGAGCCTCATGCCTGCGGTGCAGAGGATATAAAGGGGCGTCTCCTTATGCTTCTTCACAGGTACATGAGCAGCAGCAAAGCTCAGCAGAGGCCGAAGGTAATCACTGGCATGTTCTGGAGTGTCTGCCATCGCAGAGATTCCTTAAGAAAAATAAAATACTTTCTTTAAAAAGCAGATCACAAACTGAGAAAACTGATACTCCATAGGTTCTACTTAAGGTCCTACAATTAATTTATTTGAGAAGAGTGGGAGACAATGAACAGCATACCACTCTGTTATGGTATAGATATAAAACATCCCCAAAAGTCTTACATTTGGGCCCAGTCAGAAGGGGTGGATCACTGGGGGCTTGAACTGGAAGGGTATATTCTCATCCCTAATTCCTCCCTTTTCCTTCTGCTTCTGGTCATCACGCACTGAGCTGCTGTTCACCACACTGCTCCACCATGCTGCCAATACCTTGGAGCCAACGGACCATAGACTGAACCCACGGAAACTATGAGCCAGAATAAACTTCTTTAAATTGCATGTGTTGGATATTTTGTTCCAGCAATGGGAAAGCTAATATACCCTCTGTTAGGGTTTGTGTCTGGGTGTCCCCACAAAGACACACGCAGTCATGGGGCGGGCTTTCAGAGTTCAGGATTGATTCAGGGGTGTGAATGCTACACTCACCCTGGGGCAGATAGTGTGCATATGTAAGGGTGAAAGAGGCTGCTTGCCGCCACTCCTCCCTTTTGTTCTTATTGCCTTTGCTGTTTTCTGCCGCCATGAACTGCTGCCCTCTGCCTTGTGCCACTCTACCTTGGAGCCAGCTGAGTATGGACTAAAACTTCCACAAACTGTGAGCTAAATAAACCTTTCCTTCCTTAATTTTGGGCAGCCAATATTTTGTCCCAGGGAAGAGAGAAAAGTAACCAAGACACCCTCCCACCAGACTCCCACTAAGAAAAGGGTAGCTGCTTTCTCCCTTTTCTTCTCTCCTCGCTCATCCTTTAGCAGATAAAAGATCAACAACAAAATACTATATATTCTGATTAGTACCTGGCTTGATTTTTTTAACCACAGGTTGGCTGTTGCGGTCTCTCATCTGTTTGATGTCCAGCAAGTCATGCGGGTTCCCATTATGTCTTGGCCAGAAATAAACAAAAATCCTGGAGCCACTGCTACCACAGTCTATCACGAGTCCATAATTCAGATTTGGGTCTTCAGTATCAGTAGCTTCAAGCTCCCCTACCCGAGCCAAATACCTAAACCAGGCAGAAAAGAGAAACAAGGCAGGTCCGTGAGAGGCATCATCACCTACTTCATTGGTTCATGAGCCTTTCCTACTGTCTCGATGTGCCAGCACATGAACTCCTAATGAAGGAAAAAGAACACATTAGCCATATTTACTGCTGTACATGAGGTAACAGCTGGTTGGCCTGACTAAACACCAATGCAAGTAGATAAATAAAAGACTCATTCATATTTGGGGCAGATTTGAAACTGGCTGGGCTAATAAATCTTTTATGAAGTACTGAAGAGTTTGTGAGCTGACTAAATTGCTGAGTTATGCTGTTACAAGCCACCAAGTTGTGGGTGGCTAGATAACTATGATAATCATTTCTTTATTTACCTATCCTTTCTATACATAATTATAAACAATATTATGGGATGGTTATCATTTAATGTGGGTTTCTCGGTGGTATTTTTAATTGTATCTGGGGGCAAGATTATTCTGTGCTTTATGCTAGAATTACACTAATAAGAATGTATTTCAGGGCTGGGGATACAGCTCAGTGGCACAGGTTGATTCCTGGTACCAAAAAAAAAAAAAAAAAAAGTATTTCATAAAAATAATCATTTCTGTAATCTTTTAGAATATTTTGTATGGCCTGGAGGTGTAGTTTAATGGCAGAGTGCTTGTCTAGCATTTGAGGTCCTGAGTCTGATCCCAGCCCTAAAGAAGGAAAATAAAATATAAATATAAAAAGAATTATAAGATACAAAGAATAACAATAAAACAAATGGCATTGTACCCATCATCCACCTTAAAAATAAAACACTACACTATTTGACGAAAAAAATGCATCCAGGCCCTAACACATGGTATTTGCTGTTGGGATTTTTATTTCAGATCCTCATTCCAATACATATGGCTGGAAGATGAAACAAGTGAAGGTGCTACCATCAAACACATCAAGATTTGACTCTCAGCTCTATCACAGTCATCAAGTTCTGTAACTTCTCTGTTTCTTCATCTGTAAAATAAGAAGAGTTAAGAGTATCTGCTAGAGGCTGGGGATACAGATCAGTGGCACAGTGTCTGCCCAGCAGGTGCAAGGCCCAGTATTCCATTTTCCATCCCTAGCACTACCAAATAAAAGAAAAAAAAAAAAGAAAGAAAAAAAGGCTTATCCTCAAAAAGTGAATGTATGTCAGTGAGTTAAGTAGTTCTATGCTACTACTGCTGCTAAGATAAATATTAGGAGATAGAACAGGAGACTCTTAAGGAAAAGTCTAGAAAGAAAGAGGGTTAAGAATTGGTAAAATGCTTCTGAGCATTAAAATTTTAATATTAAAATTTGTCGGGCTGGGGATACAGCTCAGCGGCACAGCACCTGCCTGGCAAGCACAAGATCCTAAGTTCAATTCCCGGTGCCAAAAAAAAAAAAATTTGTCAGAACCAGAAAGAGGACATAACTGCATGGTACAAAGACCATAATTTTACCTTCTAAATTCCTTAAGATCTGAGTAAGTATTGCTATAGAATGAGATTAATAATGGTCTGGATAAATCCTCTGAAAGGTATGCTGTGAATTTTTTCAAGTAGTATATAGTCCACCCTGCTCATCCAACATTTTCTTTAGAGTTAACTCCTAGATCTCCAAGAGCCCTACAAGGAAGCCTTAAGAAACAGACTGCGTGAAGCCTGAAGTTAATACACTCTGGAAGTCTTCTTTAAAAAAAAAACAAAAGACTCAATGCTAAAATACAAAAGGAGCCCACAGAAGTAAAGGGCCTTGAAGTACAGATACTCTTGGCTTCTTGTAAATCCATATCCAGTCAGAACACTAAATCATAGGTCACATCCCTCAAACCAGTCTAGCCTATGTTTATTCATGATTTCACACTGCTATGCAGACTACTGAGTTTCTTGCTTTATTTTTTTTTTATTTTAAAAATAAAAGGAGGAAAACATTAACAGACATACAACATTTTACAACATATCAAAAGAATAGTGCAGACAATACAGAGTTACAAAGTGGTAGGGAATTAACAATGGTGGTTGTATTACATATTGATATCTTCAAAGTGGCTTCTCATGAAAACAGATATAGACATGCAATACTGGTCAACCAAAGACTCATTGACAGTTTCTTTCAGCATAGAACTAGAAGACAGAAGAACAACCATGTTAACTATCCTGTATGAGTTTCTTGCTTTAGACAGAAAAGGAAGCTTAATGAAAAGAGCATTTAAAAACAGTTCTGAAATCAAAAGTAGAACTGAATACCTATCCTACTCTACAATGCAAATGCATTTTTTAAAAACAAAAAAGAACATACATTTATCCTTCAACATAGTACTGTAAATTATTGCATAAGGTAGGGGCAGACAGAAAATTTTTTTTCTGGATCTGAAGCAGAAGCAAGTTAAGGGAAATTAAGTAGGTGGTAAAAATCTGTGACACAATAGAAAAGTTCACATTCCTGAAGATTCTGCTTCACCATGTATCCGCCCACTCTAATCAAATTACTGGCCTGACGTGGGTTCAGAATTCACCAATCAGTTTGTAACAGCTCACTGCTATCAAAAAAAGCTGACAGAAGTCTATGTTCAAGCTACAGAATTCTTGCAAATACTGACAGATTTAAATAAACAAAACCAGGCTCGCTCAAAGAGGCCTTGTCATTTCCCGTCATAGCACTCTTTCCACTTCGCTTGCTTCACAGATCTTTCCCTGTTTGCTTCACTTTGCCGAGATTCTAGACCCCATCGCTTCCTGCTTATTGGATACTTATTCCCTAGTGCCCTGGGTCTCAAACTTTGTGCCTCAGAACTCCTTTAAAAAAAAAAGAACTCCTTTATATTCTTAAAAATTACTGGACCCCCAAGAGCTTTTGTGTACATGGGTTACATCTACCTATATTTAGTATATTACAAAACAAAAGTTTTAACTTTTATTAATTCATTTAACTAAAACAATAAATTATTTATCTATTAACATATTTATGTACAGAAGCTCCATTTTTGCCAGGTGCGGTGGTGCACACATAATCTGAGCACTCTGGGAGACCAAGGCAGGAAGATCAAAAGTTCAAGACTAGCCATGCAATTTAGTGAATTAGTGAGATGCTGTCACAAAATTTAAAACACTAAGAACTTTTCACGCTTGTGCTGATTTAACACAGGGCCTCATACAGGCTAGGCAGGCCCTTATCACAGAGCTACACACCTGGATCGTTTTTAAAATTTTATTTTGAGACAGGGTTTCATTAAGCTGCCCTTGTTGACCTCAAACTTCCAGTTTTCCTACCTCAGTCTCTCAAGTAGCTGGACTGAGGTAAAGACACTTTGCCTATCTTGTGCTTTTTTTTTTTGAGACAGGGTCTTGCTATGTAGTTCAGACTGGTCTCAAACTTGTGCCAATCCTCCTGCCTCAGCCTCCCAAGTGCTGGGATAACAAGGCACATGCTACCTTGTATTTTTTTTTGTTGTTTTGTTTTTCTTCCAGTACTAGGAATTGAACTCACGACCTTGTGCTTGCCAGGCAGGCGCTTTGCCGCCAAGCTAAATCCCCAGCTCCTATCTTGTATTTTTTAATGGCCTTACCTAGACAGAATTTTGTAACATCATGTTTTGGAAAATACTGATTCACTGAATTACACAAATCTCCCAAACATCGAAACATTTCATTTTACAATATAAAAAATAAAACATTCACTATACCACCAAAGTCTTTTAAGTATTAGAAAGCTGTCAAATTCACAACTTTGCAAGGACAGCTTTTCAAAATTCTAATTTTCACTTGAAAGTTCAAATTTTATCATTGGTAATAATGATAGCTGTTTTCTTTGGAGTAACAGGTTTACTTTCATTTTCAAGAAAATGTCCATTCAGTACCCAAGTCTAAAAACCAGTTTTTCTGGCAGTCCTTTTTTCAAATAAAAAATACTGCCTCATGATAAAGCAGCGAGATTTAGCTCATAACTCAACTATCGAAGCACTTTTCCTCAACACAACCTGAGTATACACCAGAGTGTTAACACATACTTCGCCCCTCATCAGGAGATACTAAGGAAAACTGGTTATTTTTTGTCCCCATTACAACTATGTGACAATGAAGAATATAGCAATAATTCATACAATTAATTCATCTAACTAAAACATTTTTGGTGTTTCTCTCTTGATTTATGCTAAGACACCAGAAGTTTTATTCTGTATTGCTTTTCTACCATTAGCGTAAATGTCAGCTCACTGAACAAGGCAAATAACATTGCAAAAATTAAGAGATGGAAGCAACCCAAATGTATACCTATGGATAAACTGATTTTTAAAACTGAGCCAGATGGTGTTAGACTCCTATAACCCCAACTACTCGGAAGGCTGAAGCAAGATCACAACTTTGAGGCAAATTTGAGCACCTCAGCAGGACAATGTCTCAAAAGCTTAGAACAGGGCTGCGAATGCAGCTCAGTGGTAGAGTACTTCCCTAGCATGAGAGAGGCCTCTGGCTTCCAGCCCCTGTACTGAATGAATGAATGAGCGAATGAATGAAGGAAGGAGGGGAGGAAGAAATGAATAAATAAATAAATAATGTATCTGTGTATATGAAGGAGTATGAGCTTTCAAAAAGCAAGAAATCAGGCCGGGGATGCAGCTCAGCAGTGCAGCACCTGCCTGGCAAGCACGAGACCCCAAGTTTGATTCCTGGTACCAAAAAAGAAGAAAGAAAAAGAACAAGAAATCCTGCCACATGCTCCTACATGGACAAACCTGCAGAACATCATGCCAAGAGCTTTCCACATGCCAAAGATTAAACCTAGACCGTATCTCTCACCATGCATGAAACTAAAATCAAAATGGATCAAAGATCTAAATATTAAACCAGAAATGCTTTATCTGCTGGAAGATAGAACAGGCAAAAAAAAAAAAAAAAAAAAAATGGTTATCATTGGTAACAATTATGGTATTGGTAATCACTGAGAAAAAAAAAAACGAACTAGAGGTTCCATCTGACCCAGCTATTCATCTAGGTATCTTC